CAGGGAGCAGGCGGTGCTGGAGACGGTGCTGCCCGCCCCCGCCGAGGAGTCGAATAGCACCGACGGCGCCAAGGCTCCCAAAGTGAACTGCGAGGAAAGAAACGTCACTGGCATCGAGCGCTTCACGCCGCAGATCCTGAACGTGTCTCAGGTAAGCGGATCGCCCGGGTCAGCGCTCGGCGTTGCTCTGAACGCGTGGGGATGGTGCAAGGTGCCCCCCCTCAGCACCGTGCGCGTGTTTCTTTCAGCGGTTGACTTGGTGAGGTTCCTTGCGTAACGTCCTCTGGGCTATGGAAAAGAGGAAACCGCTGAGCAGGGAGGCTTTTCCTGTCATTCCGAGCAGGAAAAAATGGAGACGCAGCTCAGTCCCCATGCCTGTGTCCCTCATCTGTGTGCCTGCAGTAAACTGTCAGCTTTCGTGCTGCGTGGATTAGTGTCTCTCTCTGAAATTGCTAATGGCACTTACTGCCAGTACTGGTGCCTATTTCTAGCTTGTTTCCTGTAGTGGTTATGTTTGGGGTTTTTTTAAGTAAAAAACTTTTGAAACAACCTTTTAAAAAAGGTTAAATACACTTCTCCATCTGTTTTAAAAAGGTTAAACACATGTGCAGCTACGTGATAAATACTGCCAAGTATCTAACTGATTGCTGAATCATGCATTCGTATGTAGAATTTAACTCTGTTAAATACGTAATTGTCCGTGTTTCTTTTTCTTCTGCTTTCTCGAAGGACCTGATGGAGTTCTTAAACCCAAACAGCAGTGACTGTACGTTAGTCTTGTTCTATACGCCGTGGTGCCGCTTTTCTGCCAGTCTGGCACCTCACTTTAATTCTTTACCTCGAGCGTTTCCAACTCTTCGCTTCCTGGCGCTGGACGCATCTCAGCACAGCAGGTAATTTACACTTCCTGTGCTCTACCATCCGTTTATTTCTGTTAGCAAGTTGTGTGTTATAAAAACAGGAGTGATTTTTTTTTTCCCTTATAAAGTGACAATTTAATTTAGTAAAACTGACACTTCCTATATCGTGACTATCTTTGTTTCTTCCTCCAGTGGATTTCTTTTCCTTCATGCTTTGTGTTTGCTTTATGTCCACCAGTTTATCAACTAGATTTGGAACTGTGGCTGTACCCAATATCCTCCTTTTCCAAGGTGCTAAACCTATGGCTAGGTTTAATCATACAGACAGAACGCTGGAAACACTGAAAGACTTCATTTTTAATCAAACAGGTATGTAAATCAGCCCGGATGTGTCAGTAGGAAGAACAGGCTGGCTTTTAGCTCCAAACTGGGCTTTCCTCTCTTAACTGCTGTCACAGAGTAGGGGGAACCAGTGGGGTTTAGCTAGAGAGGGTGCTAGAAGGATCGACCGCATCTTTCTGCCCAAATATTTAATTTGGGAGTAAAGGCAGATGAACCTTGGGATCATTGCCAGAGCCATACAAGGCTGACAGCAGCTGGGGGATAAGATGGTTTCGGTTCTTGTGCTGGAGGAGACAAAAGGATTCCAGTTTTCGTGATCTGGCTGTCCACGCTGAGCTCAGCGCCAGCCAGCTCTCTCTGGTCCTTCTGTGCTTCTGCAAAGAAAAACAAAACAGAACAAAAAACATGTATAGGCCTACGAGGGCCTTCGTTAGAGGCCGGAAATTTTATATTCGCTAATACAGCAGAAATACTCAAAACCTCCACAAACAAAAACCCCACAAACTTACACGAGGCTGTGCTGTGGGAGGACAGAACAAGCCTTCTCCTGTTATGAAAATACACATACACATGGATAGCCTTTCATTTTTACGTAAGTAAACTATATGCTAGACATACGTTAAAACACAAGGCCTGTCACCAAAAATTTAAGTCTGATAGTACATACACCGTAGTCTGAGAAGAGGAGCAAAGCTCCAGATATAGCCAGCCTCTCTGTATTTAATGGTTGTTACTGGTGTTGATCAAGTGCTTGCTTTTTCAGGTATAGAAGCTAAAAGCGATGTGGCTGTGACCGAGGAAGACTGGGAAGGCCCCCTGCCTAGTGTTCTGACAAAAGGCATAGACTGGCTGCTTCTGTTTTCTTTGCTCTTTCTGGCTAGCTTTGTCATGTACGCTACCGTTCGAACGGAGAGCATTCGGTGGCTGATCCCGGGACAGGAGCACGAACATCAGGAATAATCTGAGATGCTGAAATAGGGACAGGACTTCCCGCTTATTGGTAAAGCGGGAATTTGTATGGGCTGGAAGTACATAAGAATGAACTGTTGAATTTGTTGGTTGTAGCTTATAACATTGACTAAAAATCTGCTTTATTTATCAACCACTGAATCTGTAAAAAGCAAATTCATGGCAATTAATGTGGTAGGTAAACAAACACAAAAAACCACGAACTAAAAAAGTACTTATTAAGCTGCTCCGATCGGCTTATTTTTTATGGACTTTAATGTAAATTGGTGCTGCGGTTCTACTTTGCTCTTCTGAAGAGGTCCCTCAGCTTTGTAGATCGAGTAAGATGTTTACAGCACACTGACCTGTACGCCTGGCACTGCTTGGCACAGGAGCTGAGTTGCTTCTGCTCTGGTAGAATCTGAGGATCTTCCTTTACAGATCCTACAGACGTAGGAACGAAAGCTTCTGTGTGGATGATGCGGTAAACACTACGGAATTGGGATGTGTTAGCCCACACAGATCGTACTCGGTTTTTGGCTGGTGTATTCCTGAAATGTAACACTTTGAAGGAAAATGCTGGTGAATGGTGATGTTGCTAAATTAGTTTGACTGTCAGTAAAATGAACTATGAAGAAAAAGATGTCTTAAACAGTGTACTTCAAATGAGTTATTCCACTGTATACCAGCAGTAACAATTCAAAAGCGTCTTATACAGCTCTTGACGGGGTGACTATTTCCCACCTTTGGTGCTGCGGTTAGATGCTGGTTTTCTTGTTCACTGTGCTCTCCGAGTTCTGACTTAGTGGCAGTTCTTCTTAAGAGTTAGAATAACTTCCAGAGCTCACCTCATCGTGTGTGTGTACACAACTTATTTACCACATTCCTATAGAATTAAATTACATTCGTTGTCCTTACTCTTTTTTTAAAATAAATCAGGTTTTTAGTGTAACCTTCTAAAGTCACTTCCTTACGGGATTAAAGCATGCAACTTCTGAAGTACAGATCACCTGCCTAAATTAGCAAGACCAGTCTTGAGACTTATTTAAATTTCTACTAACGTGTTCGCTGGTTGCCCAGTCTGCAGCTGAGGCTGCATGAGGAATTGATACGGGGTTTAGTTACAATTAGTATGGAAGACACTGAATAAGGTATGGACTGGTACCTCGTGTGGTTTTTTGATGATTTGATTGCATTTATACACGGTGGAGGCTTGCCGTAGTACCCCAATAGGAAGCTTTAGGGTGCAAATTAAGCTAAGAAGAAACAAAGACAGACGTAAGATTTATTGTTTGACAAAGAGCTCACTCATCCCTGCAAGATAATTCTTCAGGTATTTTTCTGGTGGCCGTATCTTTCCCCTTTGGAAAGCTGAGGTCCTGTATTTCTGTGTATTAAAAGGAAACTTCACTGATAAAACTTCGGTATTACTGAAGATAAAGCTAGGAGGTATTTTATTAATAAGGATTCAAGATTTTGAGCAATAAATTGGAGCGTTCTCGCCTCTACCATCCGGTTAGTCTGCGAGGCGCAGGGCTGGACTCTCCCCGGTAGTTCTCTCCGCACCTCTGAAGTAGCGACGTTTTTAAAACCCGTGCCTCCTCTGCTCTGGAAAGTGACTGTTTCGGTGCTGCCCCGTGGAACGGAAAACGAAACCTGCCTGCTCAAACCTAAACGGCGGCCACCCGGGGACCGAGGGGCGGGGGGGCTCCCGTCCGCGGCGGCGGGGGGCGGGGTTCCGCCGGAGGCCGTGGAGCGCC